AGATCACACTCCACACTGTAGAATAAGCTGGTTCTCATCAGGAAACTTCCTCTTCACTCTTTGTGTACTCTCCGAACTCGCTCTCTCTTTCACCCTCTCTCTTCTATCCTCTCTCTTCCACCCTCTCTCTTCCACCGTCTCTCTTCCAACCTCTCTCTTCCACTCTCTTCCACCCTCTCTCTTCTATCCTCTCTCTTCCAACCTCTCTCTTCCACTCTCTTCCACCCTCTCTCTTCTATCCTCTCTCTTCCACCCTCTCTCTTCCACCGTCTCTCTTCCAACCTCTCTCTTCCACTCTCTTCCACCCTCTCTCTTCCTCTCTCTTCCATCCTCTCTCTTTCACCCTCTCTCTTCCACCCTCCCCACCACCCCTTTCACCCCTACCACCCCACCTAAAGATTACTAATTCACAAAAACAATTATGGCTTTAGAAAAGTATGGTTTATGTTACTATAAATACTACACTGTTATCATAAGGAAAAATATCCTATAATCATCGACACAAATCAACGCTTTTTATCAACAGTTTCTTAGGCTTATCAACCCAACATTTAAGATTTACGTATCCATCGAAAGCAATTCAGGCAATGCATCACATGGTTGATCAAGTTATTTATAGAACAGAAACTCCCCTTGTGAGCTCAAGTGTCAACTCATCAATTCTCTTTGTCGGTAAGGTTTGTTTATCGAGTAGATCTTTCAAATACTTATAGACAATTTTAGAGATTTATCTAGTTGAGTTGTTTATGTGTTGAAACGTAGGGGTTTGAGAGTTGTTCACATGTAATGACGTCAGTTGTTTACGTGGAGAAAATAAGTAAACAACTCGAAATAAACTTTCCGCTGTAACAGATTGTATGCACATAATTTGCCAATAAAGAAATATAATTTACGAGCCGACCCGGTAAAGACTTGTTAAAAGACAGTTGTCTACATAGGGTGGGTGGGTACATGGATGGAGAGCGAGGGAGGGGGCGGGAGGGGGTAAAAGAGTCGGCGTGCGTGCGTGGTGTCCCGCATGGTTGGGCGACGTAGATAATTATATATCTAGATTATAATACTTAATCCTATAATAAATAACGGCGGTCTCACCAATCAAATAATGGGACTTGGTCCACTGCTCAGTGGTGGACTGGCCCGCCGGGACTTAAGGGGAAAATCCCGGTGGTCCCCTACAGTGGCGTAGCTAGGATTTTTGGGCCCCTATGCGAAAAGTGTTAGTGGGCCCCTCAGAGGCGCAGCGACCCTTTCCGGCGACCGGGGACAAACTTTCGATTTGCACCCCCCCCCTCAGACTTTCGATTTGCACCCCCCCTCAGACTTTCGAGTTGCATCCCCTCAAACTTTCGAAAAAGGGCCCCTATTTGCCTTGGGCCCCTATGCCTTGCTTACGCTAGCTTACGGTAGCTATGCCACTGGTACCCTAGTTAAGGCGCTGTAATAATCCTATCAGAGTTGTTTAAAAAATGTTTTACCATTACTTCGTGGCAAGGCGTAAAATTGAGGCTATGATAAAATGCACAATAAAAATGTCAACCTTGGTTTAGGGGCCTCTTTTAAAACTTCCTTGACCCCTCTGACACTGCCAGTAAACAGCTGAGTTTACTTCTGGAGTCGAACCTCGGTCAGTATTTGAGTCTGAAGGGAGTCCCTGAGTCCACTCAGCTCTAATGGGTACCTGACATACGTTAGGGAAAGCAAAGGTGGATGGGTATGTTGCTGACTACACCATCCCTTCATATAATGAGATCAAGAAACATGTGCACTCTACTTCCTCTACCCTACGGATCGTTGGGTCTTGAAGGGAATCCGGTTATTTAGCGCCCTAGGCAAAACTTATTAAAACGCCCTCTTTCACACAAATTAATTACTAAAACATATGTATAAGATATATATATGAAAACAATTAAAAGTGACATATTAATTTATTATTAATTGCATATACGTTAGAAGTATACACTAAAACAAATTTTACTTGCATCCTTCGTCTCAAAAGTTTGTACAGTTTGCAAGCGTAATCACATTTTTATTGAAATTGTTGCTAAGTGCACGAAAAAACCACTGAATCACTTTTAGTGTTGGGCTCTCTGCAGTCCTCCCAAGGTGAGTTCCAAAACGGAACTTACCTGTTTCAAGCTTTACTGTCTTTAGTTAAAATTGTAAAATGTCTATATTGTGTGATTATGTAACGATTTTTTTGGTTTTTGAGAAATAAAAGATTATAAATAATATAGATTCCAGCCTAAAATTTTTATATATCAATCATTTATTAGAGGGTGAAAAATATGAACAGACAATTAATTAGATGTTTAATTTACAACTAAGACTGTATGTCTACTAACATTCAGTATTGCAATATATAACGGCTATTGATGTATTTGTTTTTTAACTTGTTAATGCCAAAAAAAATCTACCATACTATTTTGTTTAGAACTTAAGCTCTATATAATTTTTACAATAGCAAATAATAACTTAAAGTTATTATTTATATGTAAGCGGTCAACCTAAGGTTCAGGAATTTGAAATGAATGTAAAGTTAAGCAACCAATTATCTCCCATTTTAAAATCCAAATACCAAAATTTTATTCAAGGGAATTAACTTTTACAAGAATAGCTAATTTAACCTAGTGTAACTAAGACAAGCTTGAAAAACACAATAAAACAATTTAAATATCATTACATAATAATTATAATAAATCTTCTGTATCAGCTATGTAACCTTGTAAAAACAATAAATTTCACTTATTGCCAACTTATCTATAGGTTTCGTTTGAAAGTTTAAAACCGGTAGCTTTATTATAACATACTTCTATTAAATTTTGATGACGTACTTTTAATAGTAATATGGTCACCATTTGTTAATAAAATTTTGGATCCCCTTAATAAAGGGGACAACAATCTACAATGGCCTAAATTAGGGTTCTCCAAACTTTTCAGCCCGAGGGCCGCATTAACTATCAAATATCAGTTCGGGGGCCAGAGTTTCTCTAAGGCATCTCCTCAGGGTCGAGCCCCCCCCCCCCCCCCGAAGAACGTCTACCGCGCCCCCCCCCCCCCCCAAAACGAAATATAATTTATATAGAAATATATACAAATTTCAAGTGTCCACCCCCTCCCTCCCACCTGAGGTTTATAGTTTTTTAAATAGCAGTGTATAATTTATTTTCTCCTTTTTAGTGCATTATTACATAAAAGCTTGTTATTAAAACGTTTTTTATGAAATTTTGTTTTTCAAGATAGCATTTGGATAAATATTGTTTCCCATTGGGGTTTTTAACATATTTGTGTAAGCGTTGTTTGTGATATAACCTACACACATTTCATTAACTGTTAAATTCATTTGTATTTATATTACTTATTGTAAATATACGAAACAAAGCATTAAAAGCTACTTATTATCATAAAAAACCACCTACTGTTACAAAGGTAAAACCTGTATACGATAACTTGTAAAATAATATTATTAATACCCCATGTCAAAGGTAAACGATAATTATACCGTAATAACTGATAATAATCAGAAATATGTTGTAATTTAACTGGTTGGAGGTTCTGTACCACTTCTCTACCGGGGATCAAATAAATGTATTATAAAATAAGTAGTCGAATGGGACACAACCCTCACATGATGGGACACAACCCTCACATGATGGGACATAACCCTCACATATAACCCTCACATATAACTCTCACATGATGGGACAAAACCACCACATGATGGGACATAACCCTCACATGATGGGACATAACCCTCACATGATGGGACAAAACCCTCCCATGATGTGACATAACCCTCACATATAACCCTCACATGATGGGACATAACCCTCACATGATGGGACATAACCCTCACATGATGGGACATAACCCTCACATGATGGGACATAACCCTCACATGATGGGACATAACCCTCACATGATGGGACATAACCCTCACATGATGTGACATAACCCTCACATGATGGGACATAACCCTCACATGATGGGACATAACCCTCACATGATGGGACATAACCCTCACATGATGGGACATAACTCTCACATGATGGGACATAACCCTCACATGATGGGACATAACTCTCACATGATGGGACATAACCCTCACATGATGGGACATAACTCTCACATGATGGGACATAACCCTCACATGATGGGACACAACCCTCACATGATGTGACATAACCCTCACATGATGGGACATAACTCTCACATGATGGGACATAACTCTCACATGATGGGACATAACCCTCACATATAACCCTCACATGATGTGACATAACCCTCACATGATGGGACATAACCCTCACATGATGGGACAAAACCCTCACATATAACCCTCACATGATGGGACATAACCCTCACATGATGGGACAAAACCCTCACATATAACCCTCACATGATGGGACATAACCCTCACATATAACCCTCACATATAACCCTCACATGATGGGACATAACCCTCACATGATGGGACAAAACCCTCACATATAACCCTCACATGATGGGACATAACCCTCACATATAACCCTCACATATAACCCTCACATGATGGGACATAACCCTCACATGATGGGACAAAACCCTCACATATAACCCTCACATGATGGGACATAACCCTCACATATAACCCTCACATATAACCCTCACATGATAGTACATAACCCTCACATGATGGGACATAACCCCCACATGATGGGACAAAACCCTCACATGATGGGACATAACCCTCACATGATGGGACAATCCTCATATGATGGCACATGATGGGACTTAACCGAAACAAACCATAACTTCTGTTGCATCCCATCCATTTGAACCACAAAATTGGGCGTGTACGTTTCAAACCAACAGATACATTGCCATCTGGAACAAATGGGGCACCATCATCAACAGATAAGTTACCATCATCAACAGATAAATTACCATCATCAACAGATAAGTTACCATCATCAACAGATAAGTTACCATCATCAACAGATAAGTTACCATCATCAACAGATATGTTACCATCATCAACAGATAAGTTACCGTCATCAACAGATAAGTTACCATCATCAAAAGTTGAGAACCCATCAGACCAGTGGCCTTCTCTACGCGGTACAGCTATCACCTTGGAAGAAATCGAAGAGAAATTTCAGAGGTAAGCTTTATAACCCGGGTTTCTTTCAGACATTTTTCTGTTGCGGTGGGGGGATGCTCTAGCAACTTTCGGGGACAAGTTATTTCTTTCTATGTTGTTTGGAGGGTTAGTTTTTTTTTTTTTGGGGGGGGGGGGGGGGGAGGGGGGAGGGGGTTCAGACTGTGGACAGGAGAGTATCTACCCCCCTACACTACAAAAATTATTTGAAAAAAATTAGCCCTACCCTATCCAAAAAAATAAAACAAACTAACAAAGATAACCCAATGTTATGAATTGAAATCCAACAACTATTTTTGTCCTAACGACCTAAAAGATCCCCCCTCCCCCACCCTCCCCCACTGTGACTTTCAGGTGCAAGTCTGTGTCCATCGAGCGTGACCCGAGGTGTCGAGACGCCCACGAGAACTCGCACGGGTACTGGAGGCCTGAAGGAGGCGGCAGGGTGGAAGTCATTCGTAGGATGAACTTGGCGTCTACGTAGGTCTTAACATTTTTGGCGTCTACGTCAGTCTTAACATTTTTGGCGTCTACGTCAGTCTTAACATAGCATTTTAGGCATGCACGTAGGTTTTAACATTTTGGGCGTCTACGTAGGTCTTAGCATTTTAGGCATCCACGTAGGTTTTAACATTTTGGGCGTCTACGTAGGTCTTAGCATTTTAGGCATCCACGTAGGTTTTAACATTTTGGGCGTCTACGTAGGTCTTAGCATTTTAGGCATGCACGTAGGTTTTAACATTTTGGGCGTCTACGTAGGTCTTAGCATTTTAGGCATCCACGTAGGTTTTAACATTTTGGGCGTCTACGTAGGTCTTAGCATTTTAGGCATGCACGTAGGTTTTAACATTTTGGGCGTCTACGTAGGTCTTAGCATTTTGGGCGTCTACGTAGGTCTTAGCATTTTGGGCATGCATGTAGGTCTTAGCATTTTGGATGTCTACGTAGGTCTTAGAATTTTGGGCGTCTATGTAGGTCTTAGCATTTTGGGCATGCATGCAGGTCTTAGCATTTTGGGCGGCTACGTAGGTCTTAGCATTTTGGGCGGCTACGTAGGTCTTAGCATTTAGGCATCGACGTAAGTCTTAACATAGCATTTTAGGCATCCATGAAGGCCTTAGCATTTTGGGCGTCTATGTAGGTCTTAACATTTTGGGCGTCTATGTAGGTCTAAATATTTTAGGCATCCACACAGCTCTAAGTAAGTCTTAACATAACATTTTAAACATCCACGTAGGTCTTAACATTTAGGCATCCACGTAGATCTTAAAATTTTAATGCCCGTAAAAAAATTTATTCAGGCTCTACTGCTATTTTACAACTGATAAAAATGTATTTCGTCTTCACAATATGCTTGGGTAAGGTTCGGGTATAACATGCAGAAACTAAGGGACGTTGGAATTTTCTGCATTCCCCCCCCCCCCCCCTCCCATCCCGAGCTTTTCTTATACCTATAACAAAAAAAAATATTCCCCGCGGTAAACAATTCAATGGGGATCCTGTATATTTCTTAATTGACCCCCTTTATTTTATCTAGAAGATCTAGTTTTCATCATACGCCCAGTCAGCTAAAACGGCTGTTATAATTTAGTAGGACAGCAATGTCAATAGCAGCTACTGTAAAGTGAGATCGGTATAGGGCTGGTAAGTAGGTTACCAACCAGTTCTACAACTCAATAAAACCTGCATGAGCCATAGAACTGGTTGGTGACCTACTTACCAGTCCTACTGCTAGACAGGAACCGAGGTCGCTAAACAAAACCAAAACTGCATCGATTGGCATTGCGAAAAGTACTTAAGTCACGAATTACCCATTTTAAAACGTTTTTCTTAACTCAGCTTCGCGTTTGTTTGTTTGTTTGGTTGTTTGGATGTTTGTTGTTAAAATTGACATCGAAAATTAGCCCACTTCTGATTGCTCTAGAGACCTGAAATTTGGCATGCATGCTACTTTCGCCTAACAATTTCAGATGCAATCATAAAAACTAGCAATTAGTGACCGTAATTAGCTTAATTTAATTACGCCCCAAGGACCATAAAATTGAGGACATGATTTCTAAAGATACCGACAAGACTGGAGGCCTATCGACACAGTTACTTCGGCCCCAATCGATGTGAGCGCGCTGGCCGTGATCGTATAGTGGTTAGTACTTCGCGTTGTGGCCGCGACAACCCAGGTTCAAATCCTGGTCGCTCAAGATTTTTAGTCCGTGTATTTATAAACACTTTTTTAAAAACCACGTTTTTCATGTGTAGCAACGGACTAAAAAGGAGAAAATAAAATACTTAAAAAAAACTTTTAAAAAAACCACGTTTTTTATGTGTAGCAACGGACTAAAAAGGAGAACGGACACGGTAACATATTGTTAACGGTGACACGGTTGGTACGCTGGGCATGCTAAAATACACATAAACACGTTTTTCCTTAACTCAGCTTCGCGTTTATTTGTTTGTTTATGGGAGATTTGATCACGTGATTCGTGAGTAGATCTCCACGCCAGCAACGTAAATTACACCCTTTCTCTGTTTAAAGCGTATCGGTCGCTCAAGATTTTTTTAGTCCGTGTATTTAAAAACACTTAGTCAAGTCATACTTAATCAAGTGATTAGATAAAGTAGAAAATAAACTATATAAAAAACTTTTTAAAAACCACGTTTTTCATGTGTAGCAACGGACTAAAAAGGAGAAAATAAAATACTTAAAAAAACTTTTTAAAAAACCACGTTTTTCTTGTGGACTAAAAAGTAGAAAATAACTATTTACATACATTTGATGACAAAAAACGTGGGTCGGGCAGATGGGTCGGGAAATTTGATGGTGAACGTACCCACGTTTTTTATCATCAAATGTATGTAAATAGTTATTTTCTACTTTTTAGTCCACAAGAAAAACGTGGTTTTTTAAAAAGTTTTTTAAAGTATTTTATTAGGATAATGGAGGTCGAAAATCCAAACTGACACTGAAACGAGGCAGTAAAGATAAAACCACCTCTGGTAATTAGGTTTTACACGCACAAAGATGTGCATATTTGTAGCTATAAAGCTATAAATCATTTTGAGATAATGACTACTTTTTTTACATAAGTACTTTTTGTTCAAAATTAATACTTGGGTGCTTTTGGCACATACATTTGTCATGCCATCGATCTGACCAATTAACTTTCAATAAATAACACTTTCTTAATCAATCAATATCATACACCAATACAAGCTGTATACACTAACAGCCCAAAAGGCCTCCACAGAACTCACCTGTGTTTTATAGCAGCGTCAAAAATCTATTCTTGTAAATTCAGACAAAATAGGGCTGGTAAGTAGGTCACCAACCTGTTCTACGGCTCAATAAAACCTGCATGAGCCATAGAAGTGGGGTTTGTGACCTACTTACCAGCCCTATTGAGGACAAAAAGCATCATCCAAGATTACATATTGCATTAGACAATGACATGAGTTAAGCGGAAATCACATACATTGAGGGGAGCAAAGCTATTTTACTACTAGGATAAACGAAGATCACTTCATTCTTTACTGAATGCTGCGATTGTGATCACTAGCTGAACACGACTCACATAGAGGTCTCGATATTGATCTTACAAGTTTTAGAGTTCGCCATTATGTAACTTTCTACCCTACAGATGCTGCGCCTTCAACCACAAGGAGCTGATGATGCCAGCCCCCCACCCCCAGCTCTACCCCTGGGAGAAAGACTTCCTGTCCCACCCACCTCTACGGGATATCAGAGACATCGCGTCAGCGGACAACTCCAAAGTGGTTTTAGTCAATGACTCCAGCACGTTCAGACTAGGGGACATCATCAACATTCAAGTGGTGCTGTTTAATGGGAGAGGGGAGAGAATTACAATAGGTAATGTCATATTTACTGAGCTGTTCAATGGGAGAGGGGAGAGAATTACAATAGGTAATGTTATATTTATTGAGTGGTTCAGTGGGAGAGGGGAGAGAATTACAATAGGTAATGTCATATTTACTGGGTTGTTTACTGGGAGAGGGGAGAGAATTACAATAGGTAATGTCCCATTTACTGAGTTGTTCAATGGGAGAGGGGAGAGAATTACAATAGGTAATGTCATATTTACTGGGTTGTTTACTGGGAGAGGGGAGAGAATTACAATAGGTAATGTCCCATTTACTGAGTTGTTCAATGGGAGAGGGGAGAGAATTACAATAGGTAATGTCATATTTACTGGGCTGTTCAATGGGAGAGGGGAGAGAATTACAATAGGTAATGTTATATTTATTGAGTGGTTCAGTGGGAGAGGGGAGAGAATTACAATAGGTAATGTCATATTTACTGGGTTGTTTACTGGGAGAGGGGAGAGAATTACAATAGGTAATGTCCCATTTACTGAGTTGTTCAATGGGAGAGGGGAGAGAATTACAATAGGTAATGTCATATTTACTGGGTTGTTCAATGGGAGAGGGGAGAGAATTACAATAGGTAATGGCATATTTACTGGGTTGTTTACTGGGAGAGGGGAGAGAATTACAATAGGTAATGGCATATTTACGATTACGACTACAACAACGTTTACTTTTACGATCACGATCATGATTACGATCTCGCTTATTATTTCTGAGAGTACCCTTAGACAACAGGCTAAGACTGAACACTTAAACAAGACTCTACGACAAGACAGTAAGACAAACATTAGACACACCTGTATGTGCAGGTGTGTAATGATCCAACCTTGACCTCCCCAGGTGGGACCAGCGTCAGGGTGTGGCTGGTCACTGCCTAGACACTCAGACAGTAAGACAAACATTAGACACACCTGTATGTGCAGGTGTGCAATGATCCAACCTTGACCTCCCCAGGTGGGACCAGCGTCAGGGTGTGGCTGGTCACTGACTCCCTTAAAGCCGCCATCGCTGCTGACGTCACGGATAATTTAGACGGGACGTATCTGGCGTCGTGTCCGTTACCATGGAGTGGGTCAGTCAAGGTCAAGGCTACGATAGCCCATCACAGAGAACTCTTCAGGACAAATTTTTATTTACAGGTAATTAAATTAATTACATTGTTACTTTCTGTTTGATTGCGAATTTCTTGGCCTGTCTATTCACAATACTAGTGTGCAGATAGTACCTACGGTAGCATAGACATTTCGAAAAGAAAATTATGATTTTATTGTTTAGACAATGACAGCATTGTGTCAGATTTTTGTATTTGGAATATAATTAAGTCCTATAGAAAGAAATAAATGTTACCATTGGGAACAGTTGGAGAAACTAGCACAAGAAAGATGGGTTACCACTGGGGACAGTTGGAGATACTAGCACATGAAAGATGGGTTACCACTGGGGACAGTTGGAGAAATTAGTCCGTGGTATACCTTTGCTGGAGAATTCTAGAAGGCAGCCATTCTTCTATGAAGGTGTCTTGAATAGCGTCACAGTTGGGGGAGGGTGGGGGTGGATTACAGCCTTGTCCTCGTAACTCATCTGGTCTTTATTATACATTGACCTGGACATTTCTATAATACAATGTCCTAACGCCTGTCTTTCTACTACGTTTTGTTTTTTCCTCTACTTTTGGAAACATTTTATGCAATTTTAGTAATTTCTGCCACTTTTAGACGTTTTCCCGACTTTCGGTATTATTTTCCTACTACTTTTTTTCAATTTTTGTTCGTTTACTCACTTTTGTCATGTCCCACACTTTAGGTCATTTCCCCCCCCCACCCATTTGGTCATTTTCCCCCACTTCTGGTAATTTCCCCTAACTTTTGGTCATTTCCCCCCACTTTGGTCATTTCCCCCCACTTTGGTAATTTTCCCCCCACTTTGGTCATTTCCCCCCCACTTTTGGTCATTTCCCCCCACTTTTGGTCATTTCCCCCCACTTTGGTAATTTTCCCCCCACTTTTGGTCATTTCCCCCCACTTTTGGTCATTTCCCCCCACTTTGGTCATTTTCCCCCCACTTTTGGTCATTTCCCCCCACTTTTGGTCATTTCCCCCCACTTTGGTAATTTTCCCCCCACTTTGGTCATTTCCCCCCACTTTTGGTTATTTCCCCCCACTTTGGTAATTTTCCCCCCACTTTGGTCATTTCCCCCCACTTTTGGTTATTTCCCCCCACTTTGGTAATTTTCCCCCCACTTTGGTATTTCCCCCCACTTTTGGTTATTTCCCCCCACTTTGGTAATTTTCCCCCCACTTTGGTAATTTTCCCCCCACTTTGGTAATTTTCCCCCACTTTTGGTCATTTTCCCCCCACTTTGGTAATTTTCCCCCACTTTTGGTCATTTCCCCCCACTTTTCTGACAGAGACTTTTCACCACAACCCACTGGCTTCTGGCGACCTTTAACGACGGTACAAGGTCAGAGGTCACGCCGTGCTCAGCCGTCCCTAAACTACCCGGATATAACGTCACTGACATCTGTAACCTTACAGAGGTCAACCAGTTCCCGTGGTATTGTGGGAAACCACGTGATCTAAAGGTACGTCATTTGGATCACTTGGAATAGGGTTTATTTTTTTTCCGCTTGAGTAATATGAAGGTGCAGTTTTTCGTAACTTTTTGAGTAAATATTTACAATCAGACAAAGTACAATTTACTAGAGCCTTCATGTGTTTGATGTAAAATCTGTTACAGTATAATAATATGGAGTCCAACAAATATAAATATCTACAAAATCGACACAGAAAAAAAATATTATTCATGAAATATAAGCTTTTTAAAGTACTTGTAATTTATATTTTAATCACTAAAGCAATGCTAAACGCAACAAAACTTTTCAAAGTGTTTCCTTCCTGTTCGCACTTGAAACTTTTGTGGAGCGGACTAAATTTTCCGGGGAGGGGGGGGGGGGGGGGACGAACATTGCGGGAGGGGGGGGGCGTTTGAGAAATGCCTGGAAGAAACTCTGAATACAAGAATACAAATACTTTAGCAACATTTCAAAATCTAATACTCAACACGATTAGGCTACTAAATAGACCCACAGGAGAAGCACTTGGTTTTTGATTTGACAGCAAAAAACATTCAAACATTAACAGGTACTTAAAACAACAACACAGACTGTTAATATGACTAGGTGTGGTCTATTACAAATTCAATGAAGAGTTTTGACCCGAGTTCCTCATCGGCACAAAGATTATATTTTCAATAGTGTCGTAGTGTTGTTGCTAGTTTATGTCTGCTTCGAGCAATTATAATTGTAATAGAAAAAAAAATTAAGAAAGAAAATTGAAGCCTAACGAAAAATGCTGTACGAAATTACGACACAGTATGCTAGGTAAAAACAACCATTCCTGTAGTTAGTTGTTTAATTAAGCTGTCACGAAGCTTTCAGTTCTTGTTTTAGTTTTAGCTAAACTCCCAAGGCACATAACTCTCATATTAACCTAGTTCGCCGTCTTGCTGATGTGTTTACTTCCCATCTCCACAGTGTACTGACTGGACGAGTGTGAGGAAAATAGACATCCCGTCATATTATCCCATGACTCAAGCAGAGGAAGAGTTAATTTTCCTTACAGAGAGGTGTGTACTGGGACACATCGGTGTTGCAGAAAAGCCAAAAATAAATAAATACATATATATATATGAATATTTATATATATATGTATATGTATATGTATATATATATATATATATATATATATATATATATATATATATATATATATATATATATATATATATATATATATATATATATATATATATATATATATATATATATATATATATATATATATATATATATATATGCTGACGCATCCTATTTCTGCAGTAAACGACCTTTTATGATCCCGTCTACTCTTACGTTCGAAGTTTCGGCCAGTAAGTAATTCGTGTTTTTAACAGATTATAATATTTTGATTACTTTTGAGACTAATGATTTTTATATATTTGTTTATTGAAATTTCATAATTTTCCGCTAAATTGAATCACCAACGAATAAATAAACGTAAAAAAACACAGTTTAAAAAAAAATCATCTATTGCTTGTTTCCGATGTTACCATTTTGGTTAGAGGCTAAGGTTAATTACAAGAGATAATACGATACAATAACTTGTGCACGATTAGGTGTGAGTTTTGAATCTTAATTCAGTGTTTTAATCAGTTTATGCCGTTTACAAAAAAAAAAAGATGAAATCATCTTTTATTTTTTCCGCTGGTAAAGTTTGTTCGTGTGTAGTGTGTGTGTATGTGTATGTGTGTGTGGGGGGGGGGGAAGTTAGTAGGTTTGTGATGTGGTGTATGGAGCGTACGAATTTACTTTAAAAAAAAAAAAAACAAAAAAAAAAACTTAGGCTTTCTATGCTTATAACTAAATCTTGGGATATACCACATTCGCACCTAGAGGGTTATGTAAAGACGCATGTTTTTGTTTACAATTTAACGAAATCAAATGTTCGTATTTCTATTCCTCTGACAAGCAGGAACCAACGCTACAGCCACGCCATCACCCCTAGACCCATGCAACAAGAGAAACTTGTCCACAACTTTCGATGACGTCAATAGCTCAGGCTATTTTTACAACGGCTCGTGGCGGTCTTTACGCTGTCAACTTCCGGTTGTCGACAGGGAATTTTTAATAAAATGTTTGAATGGAACCCAGGTGACGTCAATAGTATTCACCTTTGTTAAAATTCTTTTGTGTCTAGGACTTTATCTCCCGTTAATTACCTCCCTTGACATTTCATTTATTGCTGTTTTTAGAAATATTCAACTGCAATTTTGAGGGGGGAGGGGAGGGGGTTAGGTGTGACATCATTTTAGGGGGGGGGGGGTCTTGTTTTTTGCGACGATGGGGGGAAGGGGAAAAAATCGTCCAAAAAAGCGTGACGTCATTAATGGATGACCCCTTTATCAATATTTACATCCCTTGGCTAGGAAGATGTCCGCTTTATATTTCGCGCCCCCAAAACCAGAACGTTCTGACTTAATTTTTTCATTTTATTTCTATATTTTAGACATCGGTGTGTTCTACATTCATTAAGGCATCATTTTAAAAATCATTCTCTGTCATACCTCTCACCAATGTTAAACATTTTTTTACTAAGTGCTAAAATAGAAACGTTAAAGAAAAACGAAGCTTTAAAGTTTGTTTTTTTTTAAACTGGAATAAGAACGGTTTATTTCTAAGGAAAGCGATTTACGGAAAAGGCTTTTTTATTTTTTATTTTAACTAATGGTATTCGGGCAGATGTGAGACTTTTATTTATAACTAGTCAGAATTGATAACATAACGTTTAGTTCAATTCGTTCTCTTTCATACAATATACATCAGTTGAAACTGACAGTGAAAATCTGAAAACGTTTAAATGGGTACCGTGCCCCTCAAAACTGTAATACTCTGTTGTTTTTTTGCCTTGTATAATAGTGAATGTGTTAATTATATTATTCGAGGGAACGAACTATGTGAGGAATGTATTCTTTTCTCGCCTTATTAGAGTAGTTGTCCGCCTTTTTCTTAAGCCATGCGCAGAACTCTGTATGTGTATGTCCGCAGATGTTAATTCTGGGGGACTCTAACTCCAGGCTTCAGATGGACTTTTTTAGAGAAATGACCAAATGTCAAGACAAGATACCCAGGACAAAGGTAACGTTGGGGGGGGGGGGGGGGGTAGAAGATACCCAGGATAAAGGTAACGTTGGGGGGGGGGGGGGTAGAAGATACCCAGGACAAAGGTAACGTTAAGGGGGGGGGGGGAAGGATAGAAGATACCCAGGACAAAGGTAACGTTAAGGGGGGGGGGGGGTAGAAGATACCCAGGACAAAGGTAACGTTAGGGTGGGGTACAAGACACCCAGGAGAAAGGTAACTGTAAGGGAGGGGGTACAAGATACCCAGGACAAAGGTAACGTTAAGGGGGGGGGGAAGGATAGAAGATACCCAGGACAAAGGTAACGTTAAGGGGGGGGGGTAGAAGATACCCAGGACAAAGGTAACGTTAGGGTGGGGTACAAGACACCCAGGAGAAAGGTAACTGTAAGGGAGGGGGTACAAGATACCCAGGACAAAGGTAACGTTAAGGGGGGGGGTACAAGATAACCAGGAGAAAGGTAACTGTTAGGGGGGGGGGGAAGATACCCAGGACAAAGGTAACGTTAAGAGGGGGGGGGTAGAAGATACCCAGGACAAAGGTAACGTTAAGGGGGGGGGGGGGGGGTAGAAGATACCCAGGACAAAGGTAACGTTAGGGGGGGGGGTAGAAGATACCCAGGACAAAGGTAACGTTAGGGGGGGGGGGTAGAATATACCCAGGACAAAGGTAACGTTAGGGGGGGGGGGTAGAAGATACCCAGGACAAAGGTAACGTTAAGAGGGGGGGGGGGGGGGTTAGAAGATACCTTGGACAAAGTTAACGTTAGGGGGGGGGGGTAGAAGATACCCAGGACAAAGGTAACGTTAGGGGGGGGGTAGAAGATACCCAGGACAAAGGTAACGTTAGGGGGGGGGGGGCGGTGTAAAATGGTGAGATTAACACGTTAGGCTTTTACGGGGGGGGGGGGGGGAGGGCGTTGTTTGTTGTCTCAGTTGTGGATGGTAGCTACTACACCAGACTTGTGTTAAGTGTGGTTCCATCAGATCAGGTTGGGCTTGCCAACATCAAATTCTGCGGGTGTGGCGCTGCCCTAGTATGGTGGGTGTGTCGCTCCCCTAGTATGGTGGGTGTGGCGCTGCCCTAGTATGGTGGGTGTGGCGCTGCCCTAGTATGGTGGGTGTGGCGCTGCCCTAGTATGGTGGGTGTGGCGCTGCCCTAGTATGGTGGGTGTGGCGCTGCCCTAGTATGGTGGGTGTGGCGCTGCCCTAGTATGGTGGGTGTGGCGCTGCCCTAGTATGGTGGGTGTGGCGCTGCCCTAGTATGGTGGGTGTGGCGCTGCCCTAGTATGGTGGGTGTGGCGCTGCCCTAGCATGGTGGGTGTGGCGCTGCCCTAGTATGGTGGGTGTGGCGCTGCCCTAGTATGGTGGGTGTGGCGCTGCCCTAGTATGGTGGGTGTGGCGCTGCCCTAGTATGGTGGGTGTGGCGCTGCCCTAGTATGGTGGGTGTGGCGCTGCCCTAGTATGGTGGGTGTGGCGCTGCCCTAGTATGGTGGGTGTGGCTACAACAGTGTGATGGGATTGATCCAAGACATATTGACGCCATTGTATGTGCTGCTTGTATTGGGTTTTAATGTATACATGTATTAAATTATTTAGTTCGCGATTTTTTAGCGATTACCATATAAACTGATAATATTTCTCACATTGTTATAAGTTGATGTTTTCTTATAATTTTATAAAACTGACATTATACTTATACTGTTATGAACGAACATTCTACTTGTCTTGTAATAAACTGACATTGTTTCTGATGCTGCTATAAATCGATCATTATATTTCCATGTTTTCCTATATCCATCAGGTCGTGTGGCACGCCCCTTTACAGTGTGACATTGACAATCTGGGTGTGTCCATTAAATATTTCCCACCAAAACATCCGTTTTACGGCTCTATGGTAGGTCAACACCACTTTCACTAGACTGTCTTTATTTTTAACGATTACATTTTTTTAAGTAAAAAGGGATTTATTTCCTCTTCCTCTTGTTTTAATTTTTTAATTCAAAACTACAGTTAATTCCCCTACTGGCTTTATTAGTCTCCCCTTTTGACAAAGCAAGTTGGTCTTTGAGCGAATAATAGGGCTAGAGAAGTGAAGAGAAGTAAGACATATTAATCACATTTGATGTAATGTTTAAGTAAGTAACACTTTAGTTAATTATTTTGGTTAGTGAACCCCGAAAAATACCATTTGAAAATAAACGTTATTGAAAAGAAATTTTGGTCTGATACTTTTTTTAAATATAATAACAATACCTATTTGAATCTAACGGTTCATTAAGCAGATGAAGTAGATTTCTTCTGTTTCTTAATCACGTATATACCACTATTCCCCGTTGTTTTTACTTTGCCTGACGAAAGTCAGTTTTGCATTAGAGCTGAGTGGACTCAGGGACGTCCTACGGATTTGAGCCCGGGATCTGAACTCAAGACGGGCTAGTAGTCTAGCGCTTCAACCACCCGGCCACGTCTTCCTATTTTTTTTAAAGTAAAAGAACTCTGCATGTAATATTTAAAGTAGATCTTTACAACCAACATCTAAAAATAACTTGATTGTTTACACTTTAACAGGGCGAGGACATACCCAATAGTGTACTCTACTCTACCATACAAATCATGGACGGCATCCCAGCCTCAGGTAAATACCTGGTACACCTGCACCAGTTCCTGCACCTGATGCCGTTTCACCTGTCTGTAGCCGAACATCACCTCCGTCTAGTACGTGCGGCTATACAGAGACTGGTGTCACGGAACCCTAGCGTCTTGGTAGTCTAACAGACTGTCCACAGCGCGTACGATAGATCCAAGAGAAACAAACACAAGATGAACGTTTTCTTGCTGGAGCTACAGAGGCGGATGTTGAGGGGGTTAGGGGACAGGGTGATGCTGGCAGTGACCTGGCCGATGACCATAGCTTCAGAGAACACGGACGGTCATCCGGCCAATAGTGACCAGTTCCTCAAGTTGTACATGGGTCATCTTTGTGGAAGGTTCTAGAAGTATTTCTTTATACATATACTTGTAGATGTTAGGTCCTTTGCTACTTCTTATGCAAAGAGATTCTTTCAGGCATCTATTCTGAGGTGGGAGAGGGGGGGTTCGGAGGAACTGCCGACCATTTACCCTCTCCTACCTCTTGCACGGATGAAATTAAAAAAGTACTCCCTTCATAAATGTTTCAAGTGCTCTCCCCCCCCCCCCCCTACCTCGAAGAAAAAAGTCTGAAAAAAAAACGCTTGTTATTACTCAGGAAAAGAGTTATGAGGTAGAGCGTTAGAGCCGTTGAAATATCAACGTGAATGTGTACCTGGCTGAATGGTGAGAGATGTGGTCCTGTGTTCGAATCCTAGTCGACCTACGACTCTCGATGTTGTACAGATTCTCCACACTGTGTCCTTTATAGAACAGATAAACTCTACACCAACTGCATATTAATCGTTGACGGGTATCAAAACATTATTTAATTATAATGTAGGTTTCTTTCCTTCCATTGTTACATGAAGATACTTTTATTCTCATTTGAAGATTTTTCTTCAAACAAAATGAGTTTTATGCTCTGAGATAGAATGTAAAACAATTTGAAATTTTACTCAGATACGAAACAAAATCAATTAAAACGTAATTTTAACAGTGTGGGCATGTAATTTACGATTTGGGAGACTTTCTAAAAATTTGTTTATTAATTAATGTGTCACTAATCTTATGTTAGTTGATGAAGAATTCTATTTAAGTATGCTTGTCAATAAACGAATACGAATGTTGAAGGTTAAAATGTGTATGAAAATATACATATTTAGCCACGTTTCCTGTTTTTAAATGTTTACATTAAAAAGTGCGAGTTTTTACATGTTTACATTAGCACTTGTTTTAAACGTGAGCTTTACACTGTACTTCTTATTAAAGTTTCTGTCGTTAATTGGTGCTGATATTATGTGTGTAAATTATTTTATGGTTTATATTAATTGTACACATGTTTTAAAATTGTACAGTAATGTATGGTTGTTTTTTCAATTAAATATGTGCTTGGTTGAATTCAACATTTTTATTTATGTGAGTCCGGTTAAATTAACTATTTTAATTTATGTATGAATTGTTAAACAATTTTATTTAATTATGATTGGTTAAATTAACCATTGTATTAAATGTATGTCTGGTTAAATTATTTTATTTAATATATGATTGGTTAAATTAACCATTTTATTTAATGCGTCTCTCGTATTGTATGGAATGTATTCTCTTTCAAAGCAAATTTACGATCGGTGGTTTTAGAATGTTTATGGTATTTTAGTTTGTGTTACACTTTTCAATGATGGTGTTAAAAATGATGGCAGGCCTATTTGAACTGTTGTTTTAACAGTGATGGTATTTATATTGTTGTATTATAAAGTGATGGTATTTTTAATGAGGGTATTTAAAAGGCTGTATTATAAGTGTTTCTTTTTTTAACGATGGTATTTAAAGTGTTGTGTTATAAGCGATACTATTTTTAATGATGGTATTTAAAGTTCTGTATTATAAGTGATACTTTTTAAATGATGGTATTTAAAGTGTTTTAGTATAAGTGATAATGTTTTTAATGATGATGGCAATGAAAATGACGAATAAGAGATATGTTATTTAAAGCTAACCTAATAAAACTTAAGGCATTTATAGAGAAAAACTATTCTATTTAATTTTAATGTGGTGTATTAAAAGGAATGTATTTTAAGTGTTGATATTTAAAATGATGGTAATGGTTTTGTTTCTTGATTAACCATAACCATGTATTGATTAGCTGGTATCGCCCCTAACGATACTTTAGCCATAGCGACATTTAAGGTTAGTGTTTGGGTTAGTATCGATTTATCATTTTAGAGTCAGTCAATTAAAAAACTACAGCTCCGTGTTCTAATAAAACATTTACCTATCTGAATTCATCGTCGATAAAAATATTAAATAGATCACTACAAACACACTTACTTGTATCGGTAAAGAAAATTAATATTTATTACTATTATTATTGTTATTATTTTAGTGCTTTGTGGATATTGTTATTATAACGGTTATAACGTTTTTTACGTTGTTGCTCAAAATAGGCGTGAGTACCTATACAAAATAATTGGGTACTGTTACTCATCAGCCTAATGAATCATTTTGTCAGGTATGTTTTGTTTTATTACATTTTATGTAAATGAATTTTAACATGGTTGGATTCCTCGACTTATTGAAAATAAAACACTTGCTTTATTTATAGATTTAAATAAACTTTTTGTGTTCAATTTTTGAAAGCAAAGATTCAGTGAAAAAGGAATGATTGTGTATTTGGTTGAACTAAGGGAAGTTTTACAGTAAGGGAAGTGAGATTATGGGTTGAGTTGCAACGGAGAATGATGGGTGTAAGTAGAGGTAGTGGTGGGAATGTAAGGAGTAAAGTATTGTAGATGAAGTAGAGTTTCTTGACCTCGGCGGTTGAAGGGATAGTGTGGTCAGCTAAATCCCAGCCGTCTTTACTTTCCATTACGACAGTCATGTATGTACTCAACAGGGCTGGGTAAACTTGTTTCGTGAAAACGATTTATGGGCCAGGACAAATAAAATATGTTTTAAACTAACTATATCGGACGGTCAGCCAGAGGCGTAGCGAGGGGGGGGGGGGGGGGTAGGACGACAGATGTCCCCGGGCGCCGACCTTAGGGGGGGGCGCCAAATTGAAAGTTTGAGGGGGGTGCAAATGAAAAGTTCGAAGGGGGGTTCAATTCGAAAGTTTGAGGGGGGGGGGACGGGGGGTGCAAATGAAAATTTCGAGGGGGGTGCAAATTGAAAGTTTGTCCCCGGGCGCCGGGAAGGGTCGCTACGCCTCTGCTGTCAGCAAATCACGGGAAAATATACCGTAACTAAACTTTAATTAAACAATAACAAAACAAAACATGTGGAGTTTCATGCTATATCAGTTCACTTCAGTCTATTCATTGTTTTTTCTTCTGCTATTGGAAATAGAAAAAATATATTTCGAAAAAATAAAACAACGGAAATAACTAACGTAAGTTGTTTTACATATTCATAAATTGAAACCGAAATGTAAGAATATATTGTGTCGACACGCTCGATTAACTCCCTAACCGAGTCCCAACAATTTCTCAGCGGGCGAGATTCATTTGACGACTTGACAATTTAATCAGTCTAGTCCCAGGCTAAACATTCGTCTCCCTTGGATTAAGATGGATTATTGATCTAGTAACTAGAAGGTTAGATTTGTCCTTTAGTTTAGGACTGTTGATATATCTTGTGTCTAGAAGGTTAGATTTGTCCTTTAGTGTAGAACTGTTGATATAGTGTCTAGAAGGTTAGATTTGTCCTTTAGGACTGTTGATATATCTTGTAACTAGAAGGTTAGATTTGTCCTTTAGTTTAGGACTGTTGATATATCTTGTGTCTAGAAGGTTAGATTTGTCCTTTAGTGTAGAACTGTTGATATAGTGTCTGGAAGGTTAGATTTGTCATTTAGTTTAGGACTGTTGATATATCTTGTGTCTAGAAGGTTAGATTTGTCCTTTAGTTTAGGACTGTTGATATATCTTGTGTCTAGAAGGTTAGATTTGTCCTTTAGTTTAGGACTGTTGATATATCTTGTGTCTAGAAGGTTAGATTTGTCCTTTAGTTTAGGACTGTTGATATAGTGTCTAGAAGGTTAGATTTGTCCTTTAGTTTAGGACTGTTGATATATCTTGTGACTAGAAGGTTAGATTTGTCCTTTAGTTTAGGACTGTTCATATATCTTGTGTCTAGAAAGTTAGATTTGTCCTTTAGTTTAGGACTGTTGATATAGTGTCTAGAAGGTTAGATTTGTCCTTTAGTTTAGGACTGTTGATATATCTTGTGACTAAAAGGTTAGATTTGTCCTTAAGTTTAGGACTGTTGATGTAGTGTCTAGAAGGTTAGATTTGTCCTTTAGTTTAGGACTGTTGATATATCTTGTGACTAGAAGGTTAGATTTGTCCATTAGTTTAGGACTGTTGATATATCTTGTGACTAGAAGGTTAGATTTGTCCTTTAGTTTAGGACTGTTGATATATCTTGTGACTAGAAGGTTAGATTTGTCCTTTAGTTTAGGACTGTTGATGTAGTGTCTAGAAGGTTAGATTTGTCCTTTAGTTTAGGACTGTTGATATAGTGTCTAGAAGGTTAGATTTGTCCTTTAGTTTAGGACTGTTGATATAGTGTCTAGAAGGTTAGATTTGTCCTTTAGTTTAGGACTGTTGATATATCTTGTGACTAGAAGGTTAGATTTGTCCTTTAGTTTAGGACTGTTGATATATCTTGTGACTAGAAGGTTAGATTTGTCCTTTAGTTTAGGACTGTTGATATATCTTGTGACTAGAAGGTTAGATTTGTCCTTTAGTTTAGGACTGTTGATATATCTTGTGACTAGAAGGTTAGATTTGTCCTTTAGTTTAGGACTGTTGATGTAGTGTCTAGAAGGTTAGATTTGTCCTTTAGTTTAGGACTGTTGATATATCTTGTGACTAGAAGGTTAGATTTGTCCTTTAGTTTAGGACTGTTGAAATATCTTGTGTCTAGAAGGTTAGATTTGTCCTTTAGTTTAGGACTGTTGATATAGTGTCTAGAAGGTTAGATTTGTCCTTTAGTTTAGGACTGTTGAAATATCTTGTGTCTAGAAGGTTAGATTTGTCCTTTAGTTTAGGATTGTTGATGTAGTGTCTAGAAGGTTAGATTTGTCC